CGTTTGGTAGGGTGTATAAGAATAGTATTGAATATGATATCATACTTATGCTTGTATTAGTTATGCTTGCATTAGTTATGCTGAGCTAATTATTTGTATAGTGTTTGATTTGATGTATTACAAATAACATGCATTTCATAATTCTAAAGAAATATGTGTTTACATAAATACCCTTCACAAATTTGGTGGAAATGATGTGGAAATTTTTTTGATGGGCAATTATGTCTTCAATCATGCTAATGCGTGCATTAAAACCCTTTGCATTACTAATATCATGAATTTTCATGTATTAGTAATACACACTAGGGTGTATAACTAATGCGTAAGGTCAAAAAGTGTACCTAATAAGGTACTAGTTATACACAAATCTAATGCATGCATTATGTTTCTAATACATGCTACTAAATGACCCTTAGTCTTTTTGTGATATTAAGCATAGTTTAATGAATTCCTAATGAGTTGCTTGAGGATAACCAAAGACTCTAAGTCGGGGGTGTTGAAGTGTCGGGAAATATGCCATATAATATTTTAAAATAAGAAATTAATGCGAATCTTAAGCACATTTTGTGTGATATGATGAATTTTTGTGATGTTTTCGGTGAAAGGGATAAAACATAGGTAAGTAAGAAATTAGGGATGGAGTCAACTATGGTTGGTCAAAGGCATCGACGGGCCGTCACTTGTGTTGTAAAAAGGCCAAAATCTTGTAGATGCAAGCATGTCTAATCACAAAACAGAGAAGGAGCTGATGGACAGTTAATGATACTATAAGTAGGCAAGAAACCCGCAGATCAAAATTTCAAAGAAGGTGTAATTTCTAGAAGAGTTCCACAACAACACTATAGACCGTAAAATAAACTGATGATCCATAGAAGGTCCCGTAAGTCAAGATTCAGAGAAGTGTATACGTAGAAAATGTTGCTGATGGTGAACATGAAGGGTCGTTGAACCCATCGACAGACCGTCAATATGAACTATTGTCTATCTAAGGCAGCATCGTAAACATATCCTAGTTCTAATGAGACTCGTGTTTTCGTTACTCAATCTTTCAATTTATTTCAATCTAATTCTCCATATAAGTATGATGCTTTTAAATTCTATGTGTGTTCTTGCATTTACTATGAGTAAAAATATCTATTGCTAGGGTTGTTAACCTAGATAAGAAGTTCCTAAGATACATAAAGTGTTTTACATGATTAGAAGGTTGTTGATGGATAATTAATTTACCATTCTTTTATATAGATTAACAGTTGCAAATGTTGATCATGCCATTGCTCTAATTTAACTTGAAAAAGTAAATTGAAGTTGGACCAATCAATTATCAAGAACTCAAGGCTTTATCCTTTGTTTAATAAATCCGCATAAGAATAAATTGACTTTACTAGGCTTAGTATGATCAATAATATATCACTTCAATTCGGTTGTTAAATCAACTGGAAGAAAGTACGTTTAACCATTGGAGAACAATAAACGTTAAGAGTAAGAAATCATGGCTCATCAAAAGACAACCAGCTAAACTTTGTACTATCACAAGTATCCGGTAACACTTAACCATCAGGAAGGAAAACAACTCTAGTATTTACATCCATTAGAAAAACGAACACATATATCTGACATTAATACTGCATTAGATACAATACCAATTTGTTATACAATGCAAAGTATGCCATCATAGGTGACATTTTCCTTTTCCCTTGTGAAATTCGACCCCAACTTATTTGTATTTGACTACAATCACTTGCACTAACTGTAAGATGTACTTAGAGCATATCAACAATACAAGGAAGTATCTCCTAAAGCATAGGGAGTTGTGGATTAAACTAGGTATGTAGAGTAATTATTTGGTGGTAAATGATACAAATAGGCAACCAGTGGGAAATACTTGTGTCACGACCCGAGTCTACACCTTGGACGTGGTCGGCACTCAAGAACCATTGCTAGTCCCCAAGCGAACCCTCATCCTGGCTAACTACAAGCGGAAGACTAACTTAAGCATGTAAAAGCTTAAAACTGAATAAAATTCAATAAACACAACTTTTCGAAACTTTAACTCAAATGAACAACTTAGAATAAAAATAATATACTCAACTTGCCATAAAATATGCAACTTAAGTCTTTAAAACATTTAATAAAATAAATGAATAATACAGACTTCTCAACTATACTGACTATCTATGAAGCCTCTAATTGATAAAGATGGAAGTTAGGACAAGACCCACGACATCCTGACTAAACTGAAAAGTAAATGAAATCCTCTGAAAACAAGGAGGCTCACCATAGCTAACTCGAACTCCCGGATGTATCAACGAATGTTGATAATCCCGAATACCTGTGTCTACATCATGAAAAGATTCAGGCCAAATGGCTCAGTATGTGGAATGTACGAGCATGTAAGGGAAATTCTAAAACATAAACATAAGCTTGAAACTTGAAACTTGATAAAAAGGAAACATGCTTACCTCTTCTCAAACTTACTCAACTCAGAAGTACTCAAGGATAAGATACTCAACTCAGAGATTAGATACTCAACTCAAAGATATGATATTCGACTCTGGGTACTCAACTCAATATAAAGCAACAATACACATGCAATTTATGGAAAGCTTTATAAAACAGTAAAAACAACTTAGTTCGTTAAAGAAAATGCAATAACAAACTCAACTTTACTTATATAATAAAGTAATATAATTTCTGTGGAGTTTCTCTAACAGACAACCACCACTATGAGCCTAAGTGGTAATTGCCCACGCTGCCAGAACTGTCCTATACTTTGTCGTCATATAGAATGCTTAACTTAGTGGATCCACTAGATTATGCTAAAAGCATCTTAAGGAGTCATCTAAAAGGTATGATCCTTTACTACCCATGACGGCTACATGGTTTATGGAGATGTGAGTTATCTGAACTCAAACTCGCCCCCATATCGATGCTCAATACTACTCCCAAAATATACTTAGCTCATATATTTGTAAAAATAAACTCTTTCTTTAGTTTGAGATAATTACTCAAAAACTTAGCTTAAAAACTCTCTTGGAATCTATGTTCCCTTTCTTGCTCAAAACTCTTTTGGAAATCTCAGTTTCCTCTCATCTTAAATGTGAAAACATTTACTCTTAGGGAATACTTAGTTCCCATAAATCATTTTAAAGAAAATGAACTTTACTCTTACTCAACTTCAAAGCTTAAATCTTAAAACAAAGTTTAAACATTTGTAAAAGACTTTTTAAAAATATGGTTCACGCCGAATTATGGACTTGAACAACTCAATGCAAGGTTTTCAATAACCATAGACAGACTCAAATACTTGGAACTACTAAACTGATAGAGTTGATGCGGAAGTTCTGGGCACGAACAACTTGACTCAAAGGTCAAAATATCAATAAGGAACTCAGGTATACGACTCTTCTAATTTTCATACTTCTCAAAACTTAACTCAAATTGATGGTGGATCTCAAAGGATTTACAATTGAACTCAAAGACTTTCTTGAACTCTACTTTTAACCTTCTCTTGAATGTGAATTATGAATTCAAGAGTTATGGTTCATGATACGAAAGATCTCATGATGACAAAGTAGACTCATGAATACATTCTCATCATCCTCATATTCACTTGCTCGAGTCTTGAAACAAGTTACTAGAAGTTGTAAAAGACTCATAAAAAAGACTCAAAGGGACTTTCTCAAAATGTCCGAAAGAACTCTCAAGACTTGACTCTCAACTCTACCTTGAATGTAATTTATGAATTCAAGGTTGTGATTTGTGATAGGAATGATCTCGTGATGTTTAGGAGTTTTTTTAGATAGTTAAACATGAAAAACAATCAAGAAATCACTGTCTGGAAGCAAGTCCGTGACGCGGAGGTGAATTAAAATATTTGGTCGCGAATTAACTTTTGAGGCAGAGAGGTTTGTGACCTCTCCGCGACGCAAAGACAAACTTTATGAAATGGGGAAGCAAGTCCGTGACGCGGAGCAAGGTGCCAGATTCGCCCGACTTTTCCTTCTTCGTTTTCTAACCCCAATTCACCTAAACTCGATTCTTTTTCTCAATTCCTCTTTAGATTTTGATATCCAACACATGAACACAAGAACCTACTCATAAACAACTGTAAAATCGACATGATTTCATCAAGGCACTCAATAATCTCATCTAAACTCAAGAACTAAAGCCAATTTAAAGAACATCATACTTTCAACTTTCTAGAACAAACTTAACGCTGAAATTAACATGATTAGCGTGTGGGTGAACAAACCCAACACTATGAAAGCTTACATACCTGAAAGTACCATCTTCTTGAAGCAATTTGAAGGAAAAATCTTGAAAGATGAACTCTAGCCTGCGTTTCTTAAATTCCTTGAGCATTAGAATTTTGGAGTGAATGAGAGGGTTTGATTTAAAAAAACTAATTTTCTACATGTTTAGGGCAATTTAGATGCCCTCCTAAGGGGTTTTAGGACTAAAATACCCTTCAATAAATAAATAAAACGAGTTGGGAGTTGGAATGATTTTTCACCAGGCAGTGAGGTCCATATTGGCTCCGTAACACGGAGTCATCGCGGAGCTGCTGCCAGGTTTGGGCATCGTTAGTAAATTAGTCATAACGTTTTACTCAGAGCTCGGAATTTAGCAAACTCGGTGGCGTTGGAAAGAGGACTCAAAGGACTTTAATTTTGTATCTTGTAGCTCACCTAACTCATTTTGTACTAGGAGTTATGGTCGTTTGTAGTTGAACCAAAACTTAAGAAAAACTTAGGAATGACTTGAATGAACTCTCCTTGGTTCTTCTTGGAACTTAAGGTGCTACATCTAGTGACCTTAACACTCAAGAAATTTTAAATTCCTTGAAAAAATCTCACTCAGTACGAAGAACGGTTTGAGTCTTAGCTCAAAAAAATTCTAGGGTGTTACAACTTTGTACCGCATGGATTAGCCATAAAAATCCCATGTAATTACAGCCCAGAATTACAGCATCTGTTTAGAATGAAAATTGAGAATTTCAGTTAAAATAACAAACCAATCAAAGGACTTTAGAAATATCATATGAATTATGGACATGTACAAAAAATGGATGACTGAAACGCACAAAAGAAAGTTACAAGTACAAAACCTTTTGTATAGCTATTGAGTATTCCATTCCATTTGCCAGTATATAAGCTTTTATACAGCTATTGTGTATCCTAAAGTATCATACTAGTCTTCTCCTGTTACCACTTGCACTTTTGACATCTGCATGCTTACACATGCAATCTGGCATTGGGAATGTGTAAAGGGAGCTACTAGGTTTCTTGAACTCGACCCCCTTTGTATCACTATGATGAAGCATGTCTTGCAATTGGCTTTTGAAGTCATTCCATCTGTAGAAATTAAATGCAAATAGATTGTATCGTAAATTAAGTTCACAACATGCATTCCAAGTGGAAAAAATCTGTCACTAAACCAAATGTTTTATACTATGAGGCAATGCATCATTCTCAGAACTTGCTATGACAGATTTTCGCAGATACCTATCAGCAGCAGAAATGTTAGAGAAAACTGACGTTCCAATAACCAATATCGTATTGTTTCACTTTTGAAAAATAATGACCAGGTTGAACAGTAATTTTAACTAATAAGTAGTCTCCAACGATTACCTAGGTTCTCATTACAATTTTTCCCCTAGAGACTTTCAATTAACATTTCATTAAAACTATACTTTCAAGTGTAAGATAAAGCGGATATCCAACTGCCAGACTGAGAACACTGATGACTGCTAGAATTCCCTGTCTCTGGTTTCACTCATTATCAGGGCATGAAAGATATTTCTGTCCTTTTTTAGTTCGGGGACAGATGCCCAAGTACTATACAAGTTCACCATAATATGAAAAAGAAACACCTTATGATGCTGTCAGCTGTGTATTGTCTTCCCTGTTTTCAGTTTTACATGTATTGCGTGCAAATCTATGTGAAAAGAGAGCTTGGACACCACAATTATCAAAAACAAAGACAGAAATAAAGAGAGAAGAGTTGAGAAATTCCAGTTTTTTAGTGCCAATGCAATGAAAAGAGGTAAGTAAGACCATGTGAGTATGTTTGTGCATAATAACACAAGAACCTGCAAGGACAGTCAATTGGTGCAAGTAACGACTGGAAATTTAAAAGTATATTGCATTCACTTTAACCTGATATCTGGGCTGTCAAACAGAAGAGCCAATTTCCTTTTATCAGGTTTAATTGTCTTTGCATGTCCTTCATACAGATATCTTCTGTGACCCACTAAGAAGTGAGGAAAGTTGCCACCCTGAGTTGTGACAAAAGCTTCACTATAAAGACAGACTGTATAATCAAGTGCTGCCAACCTAGATGAGTGTCCCTGAACCAAATATTTATTGCAGCTTACTTTTCTGATAGAATAAGCCTGTTTCATAAGGCAAAAGCAGCACAGAGTCGTACCTCAAATGGAGCAAGTTCTTCTGTGGAAGCTAATGTATCCTTTGATTCCAGCCGTGGGAACATCTGTTTGAGTGGGGTCATATATTTCTCAGCTTTATAAATTTTTCCCGCCGCAACATAAAGTGAGGTGTTATTGTCAAACCCCATACCTCTAAGCATCATGCCTACCTAAAGAACAAAATCATTGAATCGCTCAGCTTGATAAACCAGAAAATGAAACATATCCTTCACCCTATCAAAAGAAAGCGCAACTTTGCGGAGCACAGTAAAGCATAAACAAAGTGGGAAGTTCTTGATCAGTAAACAACAACCAATCACCTATTTTACAACACAAATATTATATTTTGATAACCTGTCCCAGAAGCGTTTCTTGGAAAATATTTATTGCTACAGTTTGTCATTCATCGTAGTGCAAGTTGCAGGCAAGGAGACAACCAAAGCAGTTAAACAAGAGCTGTGTAGAAGAACATAAAGTCTTGCCTATACAAACAAGAGCTGTGTAGAAGAACATAAAGTATATCGATTTTGGTCCCAAAGCCACACTAATCTTTTACAAGATCATTTGAGAAATATTTCATTCATCAAAAGTCAATTCAATCTTCCCAAAGATTGTGGGAAGGGAGAAAAGTAAAATAAGAAAACCACCAATTCAGTTGAATATTATGTTAAGAGAGGAAGGAAACTGGACAAGGCTAGCTTTTGGACAATTTATTGGAGAAATAACTTAGAGATATTTTTATTAGATCACGTTACGGGAAAAATGGGTTTCCACTTACAGAGTTTACTCAAAGTTATACAAGAAACTGTGTTTTGATTGAATGTTCCCTAAAAATACACCCACAATTAGGGGTGGGCATGGTATGGTACGGTATTTCAAAGTTCCAATACCGTAATTTTGGTATTCGGTTTTTAAGACATTATACCATTACCATACCAATTTAATTCAATATAGTTTGATATTTTGAAGTTCAGTTTAAGTATTCTTAAGTATTCTACAGTATGGTAAATCAGTAACCATAGTTTCTTCAACTTTTACTAATATACACTCATATAATAGAGTTTTATGACTTCGATTCAAAAAAAGTAAAAACAACTCTTTTGGTTAATCAATTAAATTTCAATCTACATAGAGTAGTCAAAGTTTCAACTTCTAAACATTTAGTTTATACTAATGCTAGGTTGCATATTTGTTCGTATTTTAATAATATATATATATATATGTTATTTATGTAACTATATACTTTGGTATGGTATGGTATTTGGTATTCCGGTATATTATTTCTAAATACCAAATACCGTACCGAATACGAAAAAATATTAAAATATATACCATATACCATACCAAATACCATAATACCAAAACGACGGTATTAAAAATTTCAATATGGTATGGTAATTCGGTATATACCATACCATGCCCACCCCCGCCCACAACATTAAACTCCCGTTTGGATTGGCTTAAGAAAAAGTAGTTTTTAAGTCAAAAAAAATAAAAAAGTCAAACTTAAATGACTAAGTCAAAAAATAGACTAACTTAAAGAAAAAGTAGTTTTTAAGTCAACTAGTTATACCATCCTAAATAAGGAGGTACATTTAGGGTGATAGCCCCTTAAAGTGTTAGATTCATACAACATATATGGTGACACTGCCAAGACGATCTGGGAAAATGCACAGATAGCTGATTTTGGGACCCCATTTTAGACATCCAAAATTTATAAACTTTATAAGTTTAGCCACTTCATAATCAATTTCATATTAAATGTAAATATATGGCACATTATACCTGCAGCCATCTTGTCGAGTGAAATGGAAAGAAAGGAATTCAAGACTTCTTGAGGGAAAGAAGCAAAATGGCCCACAAACAAATGTATTTGTTTGCTTTGATTTTGTTCAACATGGGTGATATAAATGATGTTTAAGCTGCTAAGGGTGTGTTTGGCATGGAGGAAAATGTTTTCCAGTTTTCCTATGTTTGGTTGGGTCAAAATGATTGGAAAATATTTTCTCTAGGAAAACAAGTTCCTCAAAAATGTGGAAAATGATTTCGCTAATTAAAGTAGAGAAAACAAGTTGATTCCAAGTTTATTGTCTCCTTCCACCCACCCAATCCCCCAACCCCATTGACTATCCCACTCCCCATCCTAAATAGTGCATGAGTTGTACTGAAACCATATTTACAATTGAGATTCTAAGGAAATAGATTCCTCCATCCTAAATAGTACTATAACATCAACTATATCAACAGACTCCTCTAGAATAAATCTGTATACACCAAAAACAAAAGCAGAAGGCAATTCCATCAGATCTTCCGTACAGAGTTACACAAATCATTAAAACACCAGGGATTCCATTCAATCCAGATTGTCCACCAAGTTTGCCCGGTTCATCATTTTAAAAGCATCCCTCACCTTAAATAAGCTAGAGCTGTGTCCTTCCATCTGAGCAAATCAGACCTCTCTTGAAGACCACGGAAGGATTCCAAAGTGTCGTAATATTCTGTCATCCTTTGTATCTCCCAATCATTTAGCATTCCTCTTGAAGTGATATCTCATCCATGATCTGTCCTTATTTCTACCATGGTCTTATGTTGATGTACCACTAAGTTGAATATGTTGGGAAATCTCTCCGGAAGACTACTATTCTCTACCCAATTGTCTTTCAAAAAAGAGTTTTATTTCCATCATTCATTTTGACGAGTGAGTTGTCCTCAAGAATGGCCAGTTAGCCACAATGGATCTCCATAGACTGACCACATATGGAGTGTTAACCACCTTAGTCATCCACTTGTCTTCCTCCCCATATTTTATCTTGATGACTTTGCTTTCTTGGGTGAACCTTTATAACCATTTCATCTCCAGAGCCTTGTTTTGTAATTTCATGTTTCTGATACCTAGGTCACCTTGCGTTTTACCTATAATTACTTCATTCCACTTGAGCAAGTGAAAGCTTCCCTCATCCTTGTTGCGTTGCCATAAGGACCTTCTGATACTATCCAACCTTTTGATGACCCCTGCAGGATGGGGAATAGGGACATCATATAAGTTGGAGGGGCATCTAATACTGAGTTGATAAGGGTGAGCCTTCCCCCAAGGAAAAATATTGTGACATCCATCGTTAACTTCTTTTGACATTTTTCTATGACACTGTTCCAGATCTTCTTGGCTTTACACTTAGCTCCCAAAAGCATTCCAAGATAGACTGTTGGTAAGAAAACTACATCTCAACCTAAAATTGCAGCTAGAGGCTCCATCAGAGGACTTCATTATATGGTACAAGGAGATCTTCCTCCGGTAAATATGCTGCCCGGAAACTCCTTCAAACAGAACTAGAAGTACCCTAAAAAATCTTTAATAATTATTCATCAGCATATTGCAAACTGAGTAACTTCTTAACTGTTATCACCATTACTTGCCATCTCAAAACCTTTGATCTAGCTGTAACTGTTTGTTGTCTTAAATCATATTATTAAGTCCCCCATAACCAAAATAAACAGAAATAAGGACAAGGGTTCACCTTGTCTCAATCCTCTATGTGCATTGAAAAAACCTGTTCGAACACCATTTATAAGGACGGGAAACATCACTGTTGATATGCATTGACTGACCCAATTTATCCACGTTTGTCCAAAATTCATCCTTTTAGAAAATATCAATTGACATGATCATAAACCTTTTCAATGTACAGCTTACAAAGAATTAGGCCCAAAGGAGATGATTTTGCAGGCCCAAATGGAGGCCAAAGGAGAGTTTAAGAAGCTGATTTTTCATGTCGTAATACACATAAAAATCAAGCCAAATTGGGGTAGCATTACATGGGAGATTTTTGTGCCCAAAAAGTCAAGAATTTTGACACTTCTTTCCTTCTTTGTTAGGTAAGAAGTTTGACACTAATTTTTATTTGTTTTCCTAGTGAAGAATTTTCTGAGTTTAAAGTTTCCTAGTTAAGTTTTTCCTATTTATTATTACCATAAAAGTAGGATTTGAATCTCATGCTATTTGGGATAGGTTTTCCTTATATTATAGGGGTGAATTTTGTTATTTTCAAAAGACATGATTAATATTTTTTAATTGATTGTGGTTATTGTTCAAAAGACATGATTAATATTAGTTGAGGTTTGTCTTCTTTACACCTTTTTGTGTGGTGACTATGGATTTATTTTAGAATCTTATACGAATGATTCTTTAAGAGGTAAGATTAATTCTTTAACTTGATATATTTGGTTTCTACTAAAGTAAATTAAAGAAGGTAATTACTCTTATACTAAAAGTTGTCTCTAATTTTTTTGAAATAGGGGTCTAGATCACTTTTGATCTAAGTTTTTGAATTGGCTCTATTAGTATTATAATTAGTTTTAATCTACTAAAGGGTTCTTAGCACTTTATCTTGAATTGGAGATTTTATTCTCAAATTTCACAATTCTTTCAATTCTTGTCTTTAATCTTCGTATTTTTGCTTCCGCATTATTTTCTGATTTATTCAAGTAACCCAATTCTTATCAACTGCCTATCATGCTAATAGGCCTGAAGTCACTCCGTTCTTTGGCTCATTTCTTCTTTAGTATTAGTGCTATCAAAGTAGCATTAAAGCTTTTCTCAAAAATTTCCTAACTATGAAAATTATGGAAAGCTTCCGTGATATCGAATTTCACTATCTCCCAACATTTGATAAACAACCCCATAGTGTAGCCATCTTCTCTTGGAGCCTTATCTGCTGAACACATCTTTAGACAGTTCACAACCTCAAGTTCTTCAAAGTTCCCCTGTAGTTTCTCCCTTTCTTCTTCTAAAATCACCAAACAATTTTCAAAATTGCTAGCACACCTCCACATCTCTGTTTTTGTGTATAACTTCTAGTAGAAGTCAGTGATCTTCCCCTTGATCCTTGTTGGGTCCTCAGTGGTTACTCCTTGTACATGAGTTGATCTATGTTATTGTATCTTTTATGGGCATTGGCCATTTTGTGAAAGAACTTGGTGATCCTATCACCCTCTTTAAGTCAAAGAGATCTAGACTTTTGTTGCCATGAACTCTCTTCATTTTTGATGACTTCCTCATAATCCATTAATAATGAAGCTTTCATCCTCAGTCAAAGTCGTCACAGCAAGCATTGTGTCCAGATCTGCTAACTGGCTGAGGATGTTCTTTCTTTGAGAGTAAAATTTCCTTGCA